GCATGTTCTTAGCAACTCACCAGTGAGTCGGTAAAACTCCAGATGAATTTTGTATGGGCATGTCCGCTTTTGTCACTCGTGAAACTTCATATGAAATTTTCACTGAATTTTGTAGTGATTTCACCGGTGGCTTATACGTATAGCCATGAGTGAAATCACTCGGGACACCTCCGAAAATGTCCAAATGAAATCACCTGTGAAACTTCTCATGAAATTAAAAGGAATTTCACGGATAATTTCATATGATAAAGCCATCCAAAAATTTTTTCAAATAAAAGTAAATATATTTATTTTACACAGATTTTCTAGATTTTTTGTTGATTCATATATTTTTAATTATCTGTAAGGCCTTAACCTTAACCGATTCGATCGGGTTAATAAGCACCAATGCTCCTGAAATGAAATAGTCTGGCGGAACATTTTGAACATTTTTTTGCCGTGGATTACTTACCTGACTTTAAAAAATCTGAAAAACTACTTTTAAAAGGACTAAAAATCTAAATAAACGCACAACAACAAAAAATCACAGGCCCTCGCAACAAAAGATTGCACCAATTAATCGGTTTTTCTCCCAACATCCCTTTGAAGAGACGAAATGAGCCAGAGTAGAAGGGTTAGGGTCGAATGCAGGTAGAGAAAACTAATAATATGAGAGAGAGCGAAATCTATGGATATCTGCTTCTCTCTTTCTTATGTGTCCGCTTCGATCTGTAGCAGTTCAAGCTGGACAAAATTTCATGCTGACGTCGACGTCGCTGCCTTTGTCGACGTCGAGCCCAAACAATTTTTCCTATGACACTTTCATGCCGTGACAGCCAGAACTGCAGGGATATTATTTCGTTGTGCAATTTCGTACTTGTAACAAGCAATAATGATGTAATAATGTTTTTTCTTCCATTTCTTTAGAGCATATTTAGCTATGTCCTACATAAAAATGACACACATAATATGTGTCCGCTTCGATCTGCATCAGTTGTTTAAGTTTGACCCTCGCTCATCGAGGTTAAAAAATTCGCTTTTGGCCAAGTTAGGAAAAATTTGTGTATAGGTTTAATTCAGGATTCTAATGTATATATGCAGGAGTACGATCAGATAAATACCACTGCGAAGGCATGCGAGGGTAGGCGGGCCGAATTGCTCGTGCCTTAAGCGATGCTGATCGTGGGAATGGAAGCAAAAGAAAGAAGAAAGGTGCGAGACGAAAGAACGGTTGAATAGGGTATTGAAGTGAGGGAGCATATACATGTAGATTACAATTAGATACAATGCAATGCAAGCAAGGAACAAATAACAGCTCTAACTTTAATGCTGCTCCACTGACTATGGTCTTAATACTGTGAAATTCTTATTCCAGGCTGGGGTATACATCAGCCTGTCCAAGAATTGATAGTTTGCGAAGACTTTTGAGGGGCGGGACTCGCCAGCTGAAAACACTTTTGGGTTTTTTTTGTTTTATGTTAAGTTTATGTGTTATCTTTATTCTCGCTTGTAATTTTACGTGACGTGTAATCTGATTTTGGAATGACCTACTTCCCGCCGTATGTGTTTCTGATAGCTGATGGACCTTTTATGGATCGTCGGGACATCAATTTTCACACAAATATCTTAAGCAGGTATCTTATTGCTACTTGAAATTGGGAAGGGAATTACATATATAATGACTTATTGGTCCGCGTGTGCAGACTGGATGATCGGTAACAGAGGGTTACCTAATCATCAGCCCTCCAGCCAGTGTCCAATATCCAATATATCCTCGGTACCCAAGGGTTACCTAAGGCAATCGCCTCCCAACAAATGTTCAATGTCCCAGATAAGGCGATAGGTGCACGCCTGCACCGTTGAAAGGAATTTCATTGGCACTTTCCGTGTTGTCTTCTTTCTTATGTTCTAATGGTAAGAGGGATGGGAAGATGTTTTCAGAATAAACATATATTGGCTATTATTTATATATATATATACTAGCGGACGCGGCGAACGTTGTCTCGCCCCAATATACCACCTTCAGATAAACTCCAGATTTTGTATTTGAATGGAATAGAAATCAATTGAGAGCGGTATGATGAAGAATATTTTTCGACTTGTTTTCCGGCGCAAAAACAAACAACGAAGCCAGGGTTCTGAATTACAAGATAATTTAAAATTCACGAGGACTTTATTGTGAAAAAACGGTAACTTTGCCAGCAACTGAAATAAAATGGTTAGCGAAATCAGAACTCTTTTGGTTACTTTATTTTTAATGGGTACTTATCTTTATTTTTCCGTATTATTATGCTATCGGGATATGTTCTGTATTAGCAAATTTGAGCCAAATCGGCACAGCCGTTCTTAAACTTAAAACACATTTTTTGCCCGCTAATACCAGCTCACTAGCAACCGGTTTCAAATCGTAAAAATCTTGCGACTTCCGAAACCGGAGCACGCTTTGCGATAACACTAGTCAACACGATTTTTCCTCAAGGAACAAAACGAACTTTTTCTTAAATATTTGGGGCTTAGAAATGGTTTGATGATATTTTTTTTTTTCATGGCAGAACTTTTTTTTGAAGAATTTTTGAAAACTGGTATTTTTTTTAAGCTTTTTTCAGAGGTAGCGCTTGTTTTTTTCACATAGCTCTAGTATCTTACGTCTGGTTGTAAAGAACTTTGCTATTTTGAAAAGGTTATTAAAACAGCTAGAAGTTAAGCCCAAATACTTTGTGATTTCAGCTTACCGTCTGGGAAATAAAAAGCATTGAAATGCAAAAATGATGATTTTTGTGCGGTATTTGTTACGAAATGTTGACTTTAAAAACTCAGGAAAAGTCGAAAAAAAGTATATCCTGTGTCCTCTATTTTTTTGTGTATAGGTGCGTTAATTTGGCGTCGTTTAAGGTATCGCTCATTAAAATCTATGGAGAACTTGCAGCTAAAATTCGTTAACCAAACCTAAAATATGAAAAAAATCAACAAAAAATACCTTTTGGAAGGTTGCGAGCCCAACTGCCCATTGGGAACAAAGGAACGCGATCAGGTACCAAATGTACAACCCTTGTTCGTTTGCTTTGTTCCCAATTGGCAGATGCCCCCCCCCCCCAAAAGTCTTTTTTGTTCATTTTTTTCATATTTTAGGTTTGGTTAACGAATTTTAGCGTTTTTAAAGTCAAAATTTCGTAAAAAATACCGCCCAAAAATCATCATTTTTGCATTTCAATGCTTTATATTTCCCAGACGGTAAGCTGTAATCACAAAGTGTTTGGGCTTAGCTTCTAGCTGTTTTAATTATCTTCTCAAAATAGTAAAGTTCTTTACAACCAGACGTAAATACTAGAGCTATGTGAAAAAACAAGCGCTACCTCTGAAAAAAGTTAAAAAAAAAATACCAGTTTTCAAAAATTCTTCAAAAAAAAGTTCTGCCATAAAAAAAACAAAATATTATCAAACCATTTCTAAGCCCCAAATCTTTAAGAAAAAGTTCGTTTTGTTCCTTGAGGAAAAATCGTGTTGACTAGTGTAATCAGTCCATCTCTACTAGACGGCGCACAAGCGAACATGCCGAAAAATACTCATATTCCCAGTACAACACCAACGGAAAATACTGGACTTCGGCGAGGGAAACATCGTAGCAGAATGTGGAACAGAAGCCGTCAAAGTTGGCGACTGCGAGGCTACCGTCGGCGCGACATTTTGCCGACAATATCAAGGGACCACCTGCGCCCAGCAGATGGTAGCAGAGTCGGTCGCCCACTGCGCAACGCTGCCCGGGCATCTCGAGGCGATCAGCCACGTAGATCATGGAACTATCATCGTGCGTCGTTCAAGTTACCATTCTGTAGGAGACCGGAGCTAAACAGAACATCTCTGGGACCTATCTGGTGACATATTCCCACCGGATCGCACTCAATGGGACCTGGTATGTAAATCATCTAGGGGACTCGAGACGAAAAGCCGTGGTGTCCGCGATGACCCAGGTAAATGTGACGTCCCATCGAGAACGGCTGAGTCTACCCTTCTTGAGGGAACTCAGCCTGAAAAACCTGAAGCACGTCGGCCACCTACAAGAAGTGCTGACAGAGAGGAGCGCCACCACGTATATTCTCGCGGTGAGCATCGCAATTGCACTATGCGTCATCATCTGTGTATTACTTCGCCGATTGAGAACCAAAAACCAATGGAACGCGAGACCCACAGACCACAGGCCAGGAAACCGACACCAACCAGGTACCCAACAGCGCCGTGAGAACTGACAAGCCCCCCGAAACTCGAAGAAAACCAGTCGCGGGCACCCGAGTAGGTCCAGGGTTAACGAACCTTGGTTCGTCACAAGCGGGTTAATTATACATTATATATTACATATTATATTATATATTATACACACACTAAAATGATTATTGGTAATCCGAAATACACAGCAAATTGCCCCGAAAGACATTCTTTTTACACACGAGAAACGCGAAGTGCCATCCAGTGCAATTCGATCCCCTTACCTGGGGCATTGCACTCTTGTTGGACGCTCACATGCGCGAGCCCGTGATCAGTTCGATATTCCCTACCTAGAATATCAAACACTGACTATAGGGCCAGTGATTAGGTAACCTTCTGTTACCAATCACCCTTACGTAAGAAAATTCCCACGCTGTAATAGGATATCTTTTGTAAGCCCCAACAAAATCGATGGCCGGCCGATCCATAAAAGGCACTGCCTGGCGTGGAGACAGGGCAGTCAATCGAGATTCAATCGCGGGAGTCAATAGAGTCAATCGAGCCGATATACGTCGCGCCTAAATAAAACACTACATAAACCAATAATAAAAAAAAACCCACTTAAAGACATTCAAAAAAAGGTGTTGTGATTTAAAACCACTTTCTTTCAGCTTCCTGGCCAAGTTCCTGGTTCCTTCCCCATAAAAGTCCTTGCGAATTATAAATAACCTTGTAATTCAAAAGCCCTGGACAGACTGAGCCTACCTCAGCCTGAGATAGGTCCTTACACTATCATTGTATAGAAATTATCTGCTACTTACAGTTTCTGTTGTTTTTTCAAGTCGTATTCCATTTTGCCACCATGTAATAACTGCAGGCGGTCTCGATCCAGCACTTTGACATAAAAGATCATATCTTCGTCCAGCAGAGAGAGGCTGATGGGCCCCTAACAAACGGATGTTTAAGGGCGAAACTACAAAGACATATAAATATTATTTGTGTTTTGTTTATTATGTTACCGTCAACATCAATTAATTAAAATAAATATTTAGCCTTTAGGGACGACGCCCTTTTTTTCTATTCTATCTTAACGCTAACTTGGGAGCAACAGATTGTGTTTTCGAAATGTTTACTTTACCATTCAAGATGGTATTATAGAGATTGTATATTACAAAGTGGCCTCCTCGCCAGTGAGTGGAATGAACGACCTCCAGTAAATACCTCTAGTAAACATATAAAGATACAAGAATGGAATGGGATTGTAGCTGAGAAGAGAAAAGAAAGTATAGGCATCTTAAACTGTAAGTAATTGGTGTTAAAGGTCTCTGTACAGTAATTCTGTTAAAAGTCAAAAGCCACGAGCCCTAAAACTCTAGCGGTAGCTCCCTCTGTGGGTGCTTCCGATGTATGGGTAGAAACGAAGAAATTGGTTGACATTGGAAGTTACTTTTGGAAGGCCTTCGCTGATCCGGACAGGGCTCGTGATAGCTCTGAGAGTGTCCATTTTCTTTTTGGAATGTGGTACTAAAGCTGGAAACATCGACTGCTCTATTTAAGTTAAATTGCAATTCGTTTTGCAATTTGAAAACTCTGGTGAGAATCATTTGAAGCGCGAGTGAGTTTCGGTAGCAGCGCCTTGATAGAAACATTTCAAGAAACATAAAAGGAAGAATCCCATTATTTCGTAAATCCTACGGGTAAGAGCACAAAAAGTTTTGCTTAGCGGAACAGCTAAGCGAGGAACAGCTGATTTCCTGAACAGCAAACGATCGAGACAAAGGAGACGGCGAAAAGGTTACTTCAGTGAATACTGTCGAGAGGAGCCAGATCGATGTAGCTGGCGCTGCCGCATTATGATCGGAAGTGTTGGCGCCCGAGAGCCTTTATCGTCTAAACCGGATTTTTGAGTGGGATTTGTGGAAAAATATCCTGATTTGTACCTGGGATATCCGTATCTCACCTTAACTTCAACTATATTCGCCAAGAAAAATAAAATAAGGGCAATAAGTAAAAGTGTTTGGTGCAAAGATTCGTGTATACAGTGTAAAATGCAAATAAGCAAATGTCTACTTCCAGTAGGAAGTCTCCCCGACCCAAAAGGGCAGAAAATAAGATCAGTGCTTGTGTAGCCACATACCTGCCCAAAGAGAGGGAGAGAGATAGAAAGGCAGAAAGTGCTCTCTTAAGTTTTGGAATCAGAGCCAAAGAGGGAAGAGATGCAGTAGCGATACCGCATAGTGGAGGAGCGAGCAAGAAGAAGAAACGCTTACCAACGTCGCTTGGCAAAGAAAAGAGAAGAGGAGAAGTAACAGAGAGCAGCTTTAAGTTAGTATAATATTCTGTTCAGACTAGGGCTGTGTCATGCTTTTTTGCGTCTTGCGTAGGGCCCTAGTGGTAGCAATAAGTTGCGTCGCTCTCTGATGCATGTGCGTCTATTTCAAATATTCGATTGCTTTTGCGCTTGACACCATATTTTTGCACTTTTCTGCCTATCAGCCCGACTATCACCATTAATAACAATAAACACTTGCAGATCAAAAATCAAAATTTGGCGACAAAAAGCTATGATTTAAATCCTTAAATAAAATACTTTAAACTGATTGTACTATTATCATACGACATTTTTGTGACCCCTTGGGCCCCCTAAGATACTCCCACAAATTCTACAGAGAAATGTCTGAAAATAATAAATAAATATGAGAATCAATTATCTTTCGTCTTGCATAATTCTGTTGATTTCCCAAAATTTTGTTACTTTCCTTGTCATCAAAGATAAGATACTCCCAAAAATTCTACAGAGAAATGTCTGAAAATAATAAATAAATATGAGAATCAATTATCTTTCGTCTTGCATAATTCTGTTGATTTCCCAAAATTTTGTTACTTTCCTTGTCATCAAGCACCCAAATCAGCTGTGCTCAAGACGAACGTCTGCCAATGTGAACGCCTTTTCTGCTTCATTGCCTCTATTCCGATATCGATAGGAAACGCGCCCAGTGTGAAAAGATATAAGAGTGGATACGAATAAAAAGGAGATTGGAATCTAACAACAAACACAAACAAATTTGTACTTTTCTATAAATAAGTTTGTTGAGCTACTGAGCTTCTTCAGTAGCGTTGTTTTGCAAGATTATTTAAGAGACGATGATTGTTCAGTTAATATATTCACAATTTATTTTACTTAAGTTAATATATATGTATTATCCAAAACTTGCGAAAGGTGTGCGAATTTAATAACGAGAGTTAATGATGAGTCGATTGAAGACGCGGGGGCCGGTTCAAGACTGTTGAAGCTGATATGTTTATGTTAGGTTTAGTTTAGAACTCTGTGGCAGGTAGGTCACTGTGCCAGACAGCCAAACGTTTTAATACGGTAATGATCGAATTTGAAGTGTGGTCTGCTTTTTCTAATGAGCCTCCCCCACAGCGGCTGACTAACGCCGAGAAAGAGCAACGCACCAGCAAGATCATAAGTACAAGCAAACAAACGGTTATAAAGAGAGACATTAGATTAAGAGATGATCAACTACTCTTTGTGCTGCCATGGGCCGGCGCTTAGCCGAACATACTCCCCCCGTTGAAGAGCACGGGTCTTTAACATCCTTCTTTGGCAGCCACATTTCCTTTGTTGATCCAGGTGACGTCTTTAGTATAGCCACTCCGTGCGAGGGGGCACTTCAGACTGGTTAACTGAAAATAACACAGGAGAAAGTGGATATGATGCGCGAGACTGAGACACCTCTCCTGCAACTATCCATCCTAGCCTGGTTTCCTGAAGACGTGGCAGACCAGCTCCCAATTGGATTTGGCCAATGCAGAGAAGCTCAAAGAACAGTCTCGCTCCAATAAGAATGTCCACAGGTTGAGATTTGTAGAACTTGGGATCCGCTAACAGTGTGTTGCAGGGAATGTTCCAGCTGTTTAGGTCGATATTGCAGTTAGGATGACTGGACGTAATGGTGGGAGCAACTACTGCCGAAATGGTCGTGGCATAACTTGATGTGCGTGATTCCAGGTTGATATCTACGCAGCATCCTTCCGATGTGGCACGCGACTCGCCGAGACCAGACACCAAAACATCCGACTCTTTCCTTTGAAGCTGCAACTGCTGAGCCAGGCGAGAAGTAATGAGATGCACCTGCGATCCAGAATCAAGCAAGGCACGGCATGGAATGAGTGTACCAGAGCGATTCCTTACGCTGATTATGGCAGTGGCAAGAAGTACGATGTCCTGCCTGTGACTCTGGGCCAAAAGCGATGTGGCTGACGCTGTTGCAGTATGTACAACGCCAGAGGGTCCCGCGGGCAATTGCGGAGCTGATGTAGAATGTGACAGTGATGGCAGAATGGATTGAGAACCGTAAGACGGGGACTCGAAGTGAAGTAGAGTGTGATGTCTGGCACCACATATTCGGCAGGATCGAGAATGACATGCACCCTGCGTGTGGCCTGCTCGGAGACAGTTGGTGCACAGTGACAGCTTCTTAGTTTCCTGAAGCCGAAGTTGAGCGGAAAGATTCCCAAATTGTGAACACGCATAAATGGAGTGTCCTGGATCACCGCAGAATGTACAGACCTTGGAGCTGGTTGCGATTAGACAGTGTTTCCGACTGCTCTGGGTGTACATATCATTTGCGTGCTCTTGGGTTTCCAACCTCTGGCATCTCTGCTCCAGAAACGTGGCAAATTGCTGGCTGGAGGGTATGCTATCCAACGACGAGCATTCCTCCCACTTGGTTTGTGTGGCGCTGTCCACCTTCTGTAGCAGGCTGTGTATTAAGATGCAGTCAGCAATCTGCTCCTTTGTCCCCATACTTTGTAAAGCTCGCAGATTGGCATTAACTGTATCCGAAAGGGACCGTAGTTGGGAAACAGATGAGGCCTCGACACGCTGCAAGCTCAGAATGTCTGTGACATGTGCCTGAAAGATGAGACGCTTGTTATTAAATCGTTTGCTGAGTAAATCTAGAGCAATAGGATAGCTGGCGTGGCTAAATTCCAGCGACGAGATCGTGTCCAGCGCTGGTCCCTTTAGGCATGATCGTAAATGCTGCAGCTTCTCGACATTCGTAAGGTCAGGGTCCTTATCTATAATGGAGGAGAACATGCCCCAAAACGAGGAATACTGAGCGTAGCCCCCACCCAACTCAGGAAGCTTCAACTCCGGCAGGCGTGGCCGACTTTGCACGACGACCGTAGTTGGGGCCTCTCCTACATGGTCCGCCCGCATTGTTGAACATGGTAGCATTGTGGGCTGCCGCTTGTTTAACTCTCGCTTCATGCGAATCTCCAGCATGACCACGCACTCGTCAAACTCATCCCTCAAGGGACTACCGATCTCATCGAGATCAATCTTCTCCAGGGCATTATGGTGCTCGTTGAATGAAGCTACAAGACCCGCTAGCAGCTTCAGCCTCACGTTCAGCTCCTCCTCACTGAGCTCGCCAATCCTCTCCTTGCCGACGGCCGTTGGATTCTCCGTGCCGCCCCTAGCATGGATTGCACCTTGCGCTTGTAGAATGCAGCTTCCGAATCGACGAACAATGGTGAGGGGGGCAAGATCGAAGGGATGCTATTAGAAGCCATTGTGTATGTTCAATAGAAAAGCTGGGCTTAGAGTCACTGAGAGAGTGTAGAGGTTAACAGCCGGTGAATAACCTCGAACAGTTTTACACGAACTGTACAATCGATGTGTAAAACACACAGTCTTGCAGTTTTACAGATCAGCAGCGAGAGCTAACAGTTTGAAACGCACTGCACTTGTGCATCCGACAACAACAAAGGCATGCACACTGAGAGCACGAAACCGAAACGAAACAACAGCAAGCAAGTAGACCGCAAAGCAGATGACGCGAGAACCGTTTCTGTTGCTTGTGCACAAACGATGAACCGAAACACCGTGGTTCAAAGCGAATTTATCCAACGAAAATGTTTTTTGTGATACAATTTAAAGAGCTTATGTTTATATCACGT